TACCTCAGGAGAGCATACTTCAAGGACCCAAAAGGGTACCACTGGGCTTTTGGTGTAGCCAGTATGAACACAGAGATCAAACAGCTATCTATCCTGCCTGACCTGTCAGAAGGTCCCTTTGTTGCGGGAAGGTTTTGAGTTGAAGAACAGCAGGTGCCAATTGCTACCAGGACGATGCACGGGTGGCAATATCGCACAAACCAAGACTCCCTGGCTCCTGTCCATAAGCTGATGCATCAACTGGAGATCCAAGGAGTGATCAGCAAGTCTCACTCACCTCTTAATAGTCCGATATGACCAGTGCAGAAGTCTGACAGAGGGTGGAGGTTAACAGCCTCCTGTGTCCTGAATGAAGTCATGCCACCACTGAGTGCTGCTGTACCAGACTTGCTAGAGCTCCAATATGAACTGGAGTCAAAGGCAGCTGAGTGGTATGCTACAACTGACATTGCCAATGTGGTTTTTTTTAATTCCTTTGGCAGCAGAATGCAGACCACAGTTTGATTTCAGGTGGAGGGGTGTCCGATACACATGGAAACAACTGCCCCAGGGGTGGAAGCACAGCCCCACCATTTGCCATGGACTAATCCAAACTGTACTGGAAAACGGTGACACCCCTGGACATCTACAGTACATCGATGACACCATTGTGTCACGCAACAAGGCAGAAATGTTTGAGAAGGGAAAAAGAGTAATTCTGTTTAACATCTTTGTTGGAGATGTGGACAGCGGGACTGAGTGCACCCTCAGCAAGTATGCCGACGACACCAAGTCGTGTGGTGTGGTGACACGCTGGAGGGAAGGGATGCCATCCAGAGGGACCTGGACAGGCTGGAGAGGTGGGCCTGTGCAAACCTTATGAAATTCAACAAAACCAAGTGCAAGGTCCTGCACATGGGTATGCCAGCCATATTCCGGGATGCATCAGAAGTGTGGCCAGAAGTTCAGAGGGGATTCTCCCCCTCTACTCCACTCTCCTGAGACCCCACCTGCAGTGCTGTGTCCAGCTTTGGGATCCCCAACATCAAAAGGACACAGACCTGCTCAAGTGCTTCCAGAGGAGGCCACGAATTTGATCGGGGGCTGACGTGCCTCCTTCATGAGGACAAGCTGAGAGAGTCGGGGTTGTTCAGCCTGAAGAAGAGAAGGCTCCAGGGGGTCCGTATAGTGCCCTTCCAGTACTTAGAAAGGGCCTACAGGAAAGGTGGGTAGGGACTCTTTTTCAGTCACTATATGGATGGGAGGAGGGTAATGGTTTTAAACTGAAAGAGGGCAGATTTAGGTTAGAAATAAGGAAGAAATTATCTCATGTGAGGATGATGAGACACTGGAAGAGGTTGTCCAAAGAAGCTGTGGCTGCCCCCTCCTTGGTAGGGTTCAAGGCCAAGTTGGACAGGGCTTAGAGCAGCCTGGTCTAGTGGAAGGTGTCCCTGCCCATGGCAGGGGGGTTGGACTGTATGATCTCTGAGGTCCCTTCCAACCCAAACCATTCTGTGATTCTATGATTCTATGATTCTTCTGAAAGCTGATTTCACCATAAAAAGAAGCAAGGTCAAGAGAGCTGCACAAGAGATTCAGTTCTTGGAAATAAAATGGCAGGATGGACACTGGCACGTCACTGTGGATGTGATAAACAAGATTGCAACTATTTTTCCACCAGCTAACAAGAAGGAAACACTAGCTTTCCTAGGCCTTGTAGGAGCATGCATATTCCAGGTTATACTCAGTTTGTGAGACCTCCTACTGAGTAATCTGAAAGAACTGTTTTAGTGGGGCCTTGAACAACAACAAGCCTTTGAGCATATCAAAGAGGAGATAGCTCATGCAGTAGCCCTCGGGCCTGTCTGGACAAGACCAGCTGTGCAAAATGTACTCTACATGGCAGCTGGGGAGAATGGTCTCACCTGGAGCTTCTGGCAGAAAACATGAGGAGAAATACGAGGTCAGCCATTAGGGTTTTGGAACCGTGGATATTGAGCATCAGAAGCCCACTACACCCCAACTGAAAAAGAGATACTAGCAGCATATGAGAGGGTTCGAGCCACTTCAGAAGTTCTTGGTACAGAATAATATCTCCTCTTGATACCATGATTGCCCACGCTACACTGGATGTTCAAATGAAACATCTCCTCTACACATCATGCAACCAGCAATACATGGAGTAAGTGGGTGGCGTTGATCACGCAATGAGCTCAACTGTGGACACCCTCTCACTCAGAAATCCTGGAAGAGATCATGGACTGGGCAGAAGGCAGAGATTTTGGAACATTGCCTTAGGAGGTGGCTCACACCCAAGAGGCATCACATATAATGAGTTCTCAGAAGATGAAAGGCATTGTGCTTTGTTTACTGATGGATCTTGTCATGTTGTAGGAAACCATCAGAAGTGGAAAGCTGCTGTGCAGTCCCACATGACAAGCTGTTGAAGACACTAAAGGAGAAGGTGAGTCAAATCAGTTTGCAGAATTGAAAGCCATCCAACTAGCCCTAGAGGCTGCTGAGTGAGAAAAGAGGCCAGTACTTTATCTCTATACTGACATAGCTGGCTGATGGAAAACACAGAATAAATCTTTTGTTTTCCTTTGCTTCTACATGCGACCTTTGGTTTTGCTTTATTAAACTGCCTTTATCTTGACCTATGAGTTCTTTTCCATCTTATTTTCTCCCCTCCCTGTCCTGCTGAGGAGGTGAGTGATAGAGCAGCTTGGTGGTCACCTGGTGTCCAGGCAAGGCCAACCTGCTACAGGTGCCAAACAGGTTGTCACCCAGCTCAGCAAGGCAGCCAAGCTGCCCAGGCACATCCCTGCTCAGACGGGTAGGTGACTCTCCAACAGCTCCCAGTGCCAGTGGCTCAGCCTGGGGGAACATGTCAGCCTCTTGGGCACCAGCATGATCAGGGCTGCCCTCCCTAAGCCCTGGGAACAGCACCCCCTGAGACTTTGGTGTTTGGCAGCCCTGCCCGAGGTGGACCAGGGCATTGGGGTACAGCACAGTGCTGCTGCAGAGCCCTGTGCCCCTCTTGCCTTAGAAGGATCTGTCCTGGCAGCTCCACATTGCTCAGGAGGTGACTTGCCCCTCCTAGCCTTGTTGTTCCTACATGTTAAATTAGATCTCCAATAAATAAATAATGACAACTAATGGGATTAAATGGCTGTCAGACAAAGGGAGCTGACAGGAGGAGGTGTGCTGTGCTCAGAGGCTTGCCCCACCAGCGTGTGGCCCTGGCAGGGCTGGTGTGGAGACCCAGACTGGTTCTGAGTGAGCCCCAGCTGGTGGTGCGGGCTGGGTCTGCCACCTGTACCAGCAGCACCCCGCGCTTCTGGCCCTGGTGCTGACGTGTACATTGGTGCCCCAAATACACGCCCAAGGAGCACCCCCTTATGTCCTGGGCTCCCCTGGTCCCAGACTGCCAACACCCTGCACCCTCGAGCCCTCACCCTGCCACCCCTTCCTCACCCCGCTATGCTTCTCTTGTTCCCCATCTCTTCCGATAGATCACTGAGGCTGGTATTACTATAATCCCTGGCTTAATTTAAATCCTCCTCCCATCTCATGTTTTTACAGGGGGGAGGAGGGAATCGATGCACTGTCATGGCACCCGCTTGGCCCTGGGGCTGGTGCTGGATTTGGACAGCCAAAAAGCCCTGGGCATCCATGCAAGGGGTCCTTGCTCTACCCCCCTCAGGAAATGTGCCTGGGGTGTCTTGCAGCCCCCAGCGAGAGGAGTCCCCAAGTTTTGGAGCTGTCTCTGAGTGGGCACCAGGCATTGGCAGGAAGAAGAGATGATGATGCTGAGGGGGGTGGGTGGGTCCTGCTCCCCAAACCATCCCTGTAGCCACAGAGTGTTGTGGTCTCCCCTTCCCTCTCCTCTCACTGTCTGCCGCAGGCTGGACTGACCTTGCTGCTATTTTTCCTTTCAGCCATCTGAAATGTGTGTATTTGCTGCTCTTGCCCAGGAACCTCCTTCTTTAAGACATTCTCCCTCCTGGTCCCATGGGTGCTGGTGAGGCTCGGGGGGAGTCACACTCCTTCGCGCAGCTGCCAGCCATTTGCCTGCCTCAGTACTAAATGGGTAATCAGGGAGAAGCCATTTGGGGTATTTGTCCATTTATTTCTGTGCATCCCCCTCGTGCAGCTGCTGGGCTCCTGCCGGCAGGGTGAAGGACAGGTCTCGCAGCGCAGCGGAACGGGCGTGGGGGGATGCATGGGGCTGGGGACGGCCACCGCCGCTGGCCTGTGTGACATCGTGCAGGGGACTGTGTTGTGCCGGCGGCTGAAGGGCTTTTAGCGGCGAGGGCGCCACGGCCTCGCACAAGCGCCGCGGGGGCCCCAGCACTGCAGCGGGGAAACCCCCCGGTACGGTTTGCCGGAGCCGGGGCAAGGGTCCCACCGCGCCTGCCCCGCCGGCAGTGGGGCAGCGGGGAGGCGGCGTGGGGACAGCGGGGGTGGCAGGAGGCTGTAATGAAGTGACAAAAGAGGGACACGAGGGGACTGAAGGGACGGGAACGAGGCGGGGGGGGGGGAGAACAGCGTGGGAGCAGCGAAGGGCGGGGCGATCCCTGGCCCCGCCCCCTGCCCTGCGCGGCCGCCGCCGGCGGGGCGCGTGCGCTGCGCAGGCGCGGTGTGAGCCGGCACCTGCGCCCGGCGGGTCGGGTGGGCGGCGGCGGCGGCGGCGCGGCGGGAGGTAAGGGCGGGTGGGGGGTGCACGGCGCCATTGCCCCCGGGACACGGGGATATCCTCGGGGCTGGCCCTTCTCCCTGGCCCCTTCCGGGGGGCTCCGTTCCTCGGCGGCTTCCCCCCCTCCCTGCGCCTCTCCCCGGCCTGGCAGCCAGGCCAGGGCCCGCCGGAGGGTCTCGCCTCACGCCGCGCTAGGAGCCGGGAGGGTGGGGGGCGCGCATCGTGCAGCTCCCGCGCACGCAGCCCGCTGGTTTTATCTGCAAACAGGTGCCGGCGTCCGGGGGGCGGGGGGGGGTGGTGTTTGGTCGTGCTGCAGGTGGAGGTTAGCCGCCGAAATGGCTCGCTAAGAGCTCATGGGGGGATGCAGGTTGCAAACGGCGTTGCTAATGTCGGTGTCGTGGGTGGCAGCGTGCCCGGCGGTGTCACGGCGGTGTCATGTCTGCTGACCTGCCAGGCTCCGGAGTAGCCCGGTATAAGCCATTAGTCATTTTTAAAACGTCTGCTAGTCACTTCCTAACAAACTGTTTCTAAACGGAAACTCTTGTTGGCACCGATGGCGTGTGTCAGGAAGGGCCTTCGTGACAGGGGGCAGGGACCGGCTTAAACCCCACTCAGCAAGGGTTTGGAAAAGGAAGAGCAAGGGTTTTGAACAGCTCACCTGATCAGGGGAGGGTTTCCCAAAGCCCTCAGCCCAAGGCAGCTATGCTGCAATTCCTGTTTGTCTCTTCTGACATTTGCATTTTGTTCTTTGCTTTAAAACCACAGGGTTGCACAGGCTCTTCTTGGATGTCCCATGGCCCTTCAAGTTAGTTCAAGCATGCTTGATTTGGGGTGTTTCTGTGCAGGGGAAGTAAAATTGGTGAGTCTTTAGTTAGTTTATGCACTTTCCACAGAAACTAACTTGAAGCAGAAGTTTCCGATTTTGGCTTTGTGGTAAGCACTGGTTGAAAAAACAACAGAAAGAGCAGAAACAAAGTTGAACAGGGCCCCCTGCGATTAATGCAGAAAGCGGGGTTTGACCTGGAAGGAATAGGAACACTGATGTGCGCAGTGCTGAATGCTCCTGTTTCAGTGGGTTGGAGGCTGGTCTGGTGGTGTCATCACTAAACAGCACTATGTGTCCACACCCTTCCCAGGAATGCTGGTAGCAGGTGTAAGCAAGCCAGGTCTTTTCATACCAGGCTTTTGCCAACAGACTCACTCTTCTGGTTAGCAGATTCAGGTACATGTTCAGTCCTCAGATCAGATTCCCCAGTGTGTGAGTAGGCAGGCCAAGCAGATCAAAGCTATTGACATCCCCTGGATTGAGGGGAGACTTGGCCTACACAGCCTGTGCACTCATGACAGAGCTCCTTCAATTTATTCTTATTTGGGTGTAGCATCCCTAATGTACTGGCTCTGCCCTGGTCAGAAATGGGCTGTGTTCCATTTTACTCAGGGCAAGGGAAACTGTCTGCAATGGTTTGTTCTTACCTGTTTAACTCCAGCCATCAGTGCTGTACTTTCAGCTTCCTAGAGCTCTGCTGTTGTTCTTCCAGCCTTGATCAACATTACGAATTGAAAGGCAGTGCACCAAGCACAGCTCTGGCAAACTCACTGACTGATATTTGTTTTTTAGTGACTGTTATGCTGGAGGAAGGTGTTCCGTGGACAGTCCTGGAGACAGAAGTGCTGTATTTCTAGAGCAGGTACAGTACAGACAGCAGTGAAACAAACCTTTTTTCTGTGTCAGGCCTTTACCTTCACTTTCAGAATGTCCATGGAAGGGGGAGGACTGGTTGGCACTTGGCCTTTCTCTTGCTACTGCTGACTAAGGAACCCGTGGTGTTGGGGTTGTTGCAATGTGAACTTGCGCCTGTGCCCCAGCAAACTGGCCTGCAAAGAGCATTGCCAGAAAAGAGCGGCAGAGGAACCGGGCCTCTGTGCCTGGAAAACCCCTTCTGAGCTGTAGAGATCACACACAGAAAACAAGCACAGCTCCACTTATAAGGTGAGTCAGCATTCTTGGGGTGGTTAAGAACTGGTTTGCCAGACGATTTGTATTGATGTTAGGCCTGTACATCTTTTACATCCTTCCAGTAGAGCAAGTCAGATAGGAGAAATTATTTAGCTAGTGATTGTACAGTGGAAAGGAAGGCCTGATGAAGATCCCTGATCACTTTGCTGTTTCTGTGATAGCCTGAGGACCCAGGCCAGAAGAAGTGTTGAACTAGTGACGGTATGTCTGGAAAAACTAGACAGGCTTTCAGATACAAAGTTTTCACCAAAAGTGGTATAATTGATACTAAACTCTCAACAGTTGTTCTCACCTTGAACTTACAATGGTGACCAGCTGCTTCTATTTTGGACCTGACGGAGGACTTGTGTGCCTGAAAGCTTGTCCAATTCCCAGCTCTAACTTCTCTAATAAGAGAGATTACCTCCTATATACAAAACTTGTTCAGAAATGGGGATGGAGATGCCGTATTCTGTTCTTCTGTGTGCAACTTTCTGCGGAATCCACAAGTCAAATAGCCATTTTTACTATTTCTGAACCCTGCAGATCGTGTCGGTCGATACTGCGCCCCCTCCATCCTGCTGCAATGAGTGGGAAGTCCTTGCTCTTAAAGGTCATTCTCCTTGGTGATGGTGGAGTTGGCAAAAGTTCTCTCATGAACCGGTATGTCACCAACAAGTTTGACTCACAGGCTTTCCACACGATTGGTGTGGAGTTCTTAAACCGGGACCTGGAGGTGGATGGACGTTTTGTGACCCTCCAGATTTGGGACACTGCAGGACAGGAGAGATTCAAGAGCCTGCGAACCCCCTTTTACAGGGGAGCAGACTGCTGCCTGCTGACCTTCAGTGTGGACGACCGGCAGAGCTTTGAGAACCTCAGTAACTGGCAGAAGGAGTTTGTCTATTATGCGGATGTGAAGGACCCTGAACACTTCCCATTTGTAGTCCTGGGCAACAAGGTAGACAAACTTGAGAGACAAGTGAGCACAGAGGAGGCCCAGGCCTGGTGCATGGAAAACGGTAACTATCCATACCTGGAGACTAGTGCCAAGGATGACACCAATGTGGCAGTGGCCTTCGAGGAGGCTGTGCGGCAGGTGCTGGCGGTGGAGGAGCAGCTGGAGCACTGCATGCTGGGCCACACCATTGACTTGCACTCCAGCTCCAAATCAGGGTCTTCCTGTTGTTAAGAGTGGCTGCTGCGTTGGGAACGTCGCTCGAGCCAGCGGCTGGATCGGAATAAGCACGGGCAGCTCTCGGGCATTCTGAGGAGAGTGGCCACAAGGACAATAGGTGTTTTGCTCACTAGGGAGTTGCAGCCTCACCATCTGAATTGTGGCTGGAATTTTCAGGCACAGAGCATGTATCTGCAGGAGGGAGCTGTTAAAAGAGCGTGTGAGTGTAGTCCTGCTTCCATCTCTGCCTGTTGTAGCAGGTTTAAAGGACTGGGTTAAAGTCCTTTAAATTCACTAAAGACAGTAGTGATCTGATCTGTACCAAGAACTGCCTGTAGAACAAATCTGAGAGTGCTCTAGACACTCTTTGAAGTGTTTTAGTCCTGAACTCAAAAAAAATACTAGACCAACTAAACTCATGACCTTACTGCCAAAGGAAAGTCTGCTCAACATACTGAACAAAACCTGTTGTAGAGACTCTAGCCCATGCGACTGTGAGAATGCCAAATACTAGAGTGGCTGATATGTGTGTATTTGTTGTTTGGGTTAAGTGCATTGTGTCCTGAGACTGAATTGTGCTGAAAATTGTTAGAGTTCTGATCTGAAGCAACGTACAAAGGAGAGATGGACCTGTGTTTGAACGTGGCAGCATTGTTTCTTCGTAGCTGCCTATTTCTGGTTTGGTTTTCCTCACCTCTGACTTTGTCTTGTGTGAGTGTTGTTTTGTGGAGAGACTGTCTCCTTGTTTAATATGTGTTTCCTTGTCTCTTCTGGAGGCTTGACACCAGATCTCGCTTCTCATACCTTGAAGCCCTGGATGAAAAATACAGATGTCGATGCTTGCTGGCTCATGTCAAAGAGTTTAGAGTTACTCAGGAGATCTGGAGGGTGAAACTTCAGCTGGTTTCTGTCACAAGTAATCGCCACATCCAGATGATATGCTCTAGCAGACCGGACGGTAGGTGGGTGGGATGTCTCAGGTGTGCAGGTGGCTGGAGGAGTCATGCGTGGTTAGCTGTTAAATCCACTAACTCGGGTGACCACTGTGCTTCATTAGCTGGTGGATCAGCATCTTCAGTTGCTTTAGCACGGGTGTTCCCATCTGGGTGCTGCAACATGGAACCATTCACTTAATTACCTGTTGTGTAAGGTGCAGTGCTGCTGAACACAGTTAACTCATGCCATTGGCCTGGCCCTTACTCCCTAACGGGGAATCCAGTATGTTTTATTTGTAATTCATATGACAAACTTTACTGGTAGAGGATGTCCGTTCTCTTAACTGGCCTTTGTCAATGACTGCTGTGTTCAGTCCACTGGGGAGAGAGCTGTACTGCTTCCACCTCTTCAAGGTGGCTGAAAAATGGTAAGTGAAGGTGGGGGGCAAGGAACCTTCTAGAAAAGTACACCAGGCTTTGCTGATTCCAGCTCCTGCCCCCTGCTAGGTGTTAGTCCTAAGCTGTCTGTGTAGCAAAGAGATGAGTGCTTGCTGACTGCTGTCTTTACCATTGTAACCTCATGTCATGCAACTTCTCGTGCAAGCGTTTGTCCAAAACTGTGACTTTGCCCATAAGCACACAGGAGCCTGCCATGGGCAGAGCTTCCCTGAGTATGTATCCGCTAGCTGCTGAATGCGATTCCCACTGTGATGTATCTCAAATCAAGAGGCCTCACTTACGCTGTGCTTTAGAGCAGGGCGATCTCTGCCCTCATGCTGGCTGGTGGCAGCTAATCCCTATCGCCGAGCAGTCTCAGAGCATGTAGGGAGTCTCCTCTGGGGGAACTCAGGGTGATCCTGCCCTTCTCTGCAGGGCAGCCACGTGTGGAAGGGACTGGAGCTTTAATGCAAAGTGCTTTAGAGGGATCTGATTTCTAAACAGGGCTGAACACTCATATTCACAAGGATAGATAGGAAGTGCTTTCAGTCTCTGGAAAACCAGGTCCCCTGAGGTATAAGAGAAGGCTCTGCTTCTGTAGGTGCAGCAGATTTTTACAGGATATTAAAGTTATTGTTACTGTTTATTTACCACTGTCTGACCTCCCCAGGCCTCTAGATTTTTCTTCAGTTTAACACTGCTTGATATTTCCTGATTCAAGATCCCAGACTCTGTGACCTGTGGTTCTGATTTACATCTCTGAACAGACACGTTCCCCCAGAGCTGGTTTGCACTGGGGCCCAGGGTTGGAACAGGCTCAGGCCCTTGTGTGCTGCCTGGCCCTGCTGAGGGAGCTCCCTGCCAGTGGAACTGCCGCTCTCCCAGAGCGGATCTCACGTGGGATTGGGCAGAGGCTGAACACGCCACTGTGTAGAAGGCAAGGGTGCAGCACGCTGTTTGCAGTACCCTGGGTGCGTGTTGATGCTGATAGCTGAAGGTCAAGAGCCTCATTGTGCACAGGCTGTGCAGGTGGTATGTATTGCTGGAAGGTGTTACACAGCATCTTTTATTCCTAACAGACATTGGATCATTGACTTTTTTAAAAAAAAAAACATATATTTTATTAGGTTTATGTGTTTTAAAAATCCATTTTAAAAGTATAGTATAATATATTTAAATTGTTTAATTTATTTTAAATGATACGCACAATTTCCATAGGAGACAGGATTTTGAACTCTTTGTTGCAAAGTTCAGTGCCAACAGCCATTCCCTCCCTGTGTCCACTCATGCTGCTGCGGTTGTTGCTATTGCTACAGAACTGGAATTGTAAAACTGAGATTCTGCCTTTATTTAAGCAAATAAAACATGGATGTATTCAAGTGAACTCAGGAAGTAGCTGCCTTCTTGGTTTATCAAAGTTCAAGTCTGCTCCTGTTCTCCTGAGGGATGTGGAACTGGGTTGATTATAGCATCTGGCAGAGAGAAGTCACTAAGGGATCAAAGGGGTTTGTTATTCCTGAATGTACATAGCTAGACCAGTAGTTATATTCCTTTACCTTTATTTATCAGCTGAATCCAGTGACCAATTTTGTCTTTTCAAGAGTGTATGAGAAAACACTTTCATAATAGAAATACTCCACATTGCTTTCTTCTGTCACCAGATTGTAATTTTCAGCTTGGGCTATCAGCAGCAAACCGGTACTTTCCTTTGATTTCTTCCTATGATCTTGGAACTGCTTGCTGGGCTCCAGGGGGTTATAACCAGGCATGATTTCCATAGGATGCTGAAACAGAAATCAGCATATGGGGACTGTTCTCTTCCGCTGCCAGGATGGTTGCTTATTTTGGGATGCTTTCTCTGTGTTTGCGCAGTCTGTGCCTGCTGTTTCTGTTGGCAGAACCTTTTAGTTCATCTTTCTCCCGTGTCTGCTTTCCTATCCACGCTTCCAGAGGCAGCATAGGGTTTCAAGTCCTTGGAAATCCTGCTTTTTAATGTGGGCTGGAGTACCTGGGATCCTCCAGCATCTTAATTCAACCATTTCAAAACACAGCTGAAAGCAGACAACTAACATGGCCTGGTGGAGATGGTCCCAACCTTGGAGGAGTCATGTGGGTTGGGTGAGGTTGTCTCATGTCAGCGAGGGTCTGTCTAAAACCATCAGATCCACTGACTTCCCTGATGTGAGATGTTTGTAAGAAAATGTGGGGCAGAGGCAGGAGCAAGGCTGCTCCCTTATTCCCCACTTTGTTGCTGCAAGCAATAGCAGAGGGCTCTGGGTTTTGTCATGGGATGGGGAGAGGATGGATCCCTGGAGGGCAAAGGAGTGTCTCCAAGGGAAAGCAGAGTTGCTTCTGGGTGGAACAGATGCTGTAGGATATCCCAGTGTGCTTGCAAAGGAGGAGGAGTGGTGGCGAGGCTGCTGGTCCCATCCGTCCCTTTCTACCACAACCCTCTTGAGGATTTTACTGCTCTGGGCCAGGTAGTGCAGCTGTAAGGCCATGCAGCTCCTGGGTGGGCTGAGGAAACTGAAATCTTATCTAGAACAGCTAGCTGAGGCGCCCCAGATGGCTGCAGATGCCCTGGGGTTGCTCTCAGCGTGATGGAGGCTGCTCACACGTTGTGTGTTTCCTGAGTGCAGCTCTTCCCTAGCTCTGGAGGCTGGCTCCTAGCAGCAGTACAGCTGTAAGGAGGTTTGTGGGAACATGATCTATGGGGACCACGTGTTCTTGCATGTATTTGAGGATGAGCAAAAAGATAGTCTAAAAATGCCCTTTCTTGAGCCCCTGAATCCCCCTCCAGTTCTTAACAGGGGAGTTTGTTGCAGCTCTGGTGCCAGGGGCACTGGCATGCTCTGCTCTGGAGTAAGGAGCACTCCCCGCTCTGCTGAGGTGGGGGGCGATGGCAGCTCCAACAGTGGTTGCCTGAAGAAGGGCTCAGGTGAGTCAGAGTCCCTTGACTGGGAGACTGGGGCCTGGGACAGTCCAAGTCAGTGACATAGTGGTTACCTGCTGAGGCGATTGCTTGGGCAAAAGCAATTGGGGATGGACAGAGATACCCCTTGACTTCAGGGCTTGCACGGCTGGTGGAGCAGCTCCTTCTTCCCTGGTGGCTTCAAGGGGTCCTTTAGGGGCTGGTGCACATGGCCACATGCAGACGCAGGACTCCTGTCTTCATGAGCAGCCAAGGGCAGCATCTGCCTGTGCTATTGTCAGTCCTTTCCATGAGAACTTCCCACATGCTGTTCCCTCCTCATCCCTGGGCATCTCCCTGCCAGAGCCAAACTGTGCACACGAATGGAGAGAAACCAGGTGGGCGCCTGAGAGGTGGCAGGTGAGACCTTCCTCCGGGGTAGATGGACAGCAGTACCATGCTGTGGCCCTGCCAGCCAGGGCTGCTCACGGCTACCACCCCTGCCAGGGCATCGCTCGCCTCTCGCAGCCCTTTTCCTGCGCTAACAAGCCAGGACAGGGCTGGGGGAGCTGCTGGTGGGGAGCAGCACGAGCATGGTGTGCCCGCTGTCCGCTCTGCTGAGTGTCGGTGCAGGCGGAGGGATGGAGGGCTGAGCCGGGGCAGCCGTTGGGTTTGCCTCTAGCACTGCCTCCGCTCCTTGAGCCCTCTTGCTCATCCTGCACAGCCTTTCCCAAGGCCTGGCAGAGAGAGCAACGTAGGGGAATCTGCCTGCTGGTGTGGCTTCTGAGGAATTTGCTGTGTAGTTAAGAGGCTTGCACCTGGGCTTTGCATGGCAGCATCTGGATGTTTATGGTAGCTTTTATTTGCTATTCCCTTGCTGGACTATGGCAGGAGTGAGCCCCGTGTAACTGAAGGCTCTAGTTATTTTTTCTGATGCGTGGCCGGTGGGCTGGCTTTGGGGGGCTCCCAGCGCACCCCTAGCGGAAGGCAAGCCTTTGCAGGGAAGGCTTTCCCGGGGAAGCCCGGGCAGAGCCCCGGCAGCAGCCGCTGCTGCCGGCGGCCGCGGGGAGGAGTCGCAGGACCGGGGATGGGGGAGCCCGGCCTGCCCCGGGCGGGAGCAGCACCAGCCGAATGGGGCATGGGACGAAACAGGGGGAGTTGCTCTGCCTGCTCGCTGGCAGGTCAGCCCGTGGGACATGCTCCAGGGTCCCTTTTCTCTGGTCCAGCCTCTGTGGGAGCAAACTGCAGCCACTAGACATGGGGAAAGTGTTTGATTGCACTGGCTCCCCTCCTTGGAGCCTTTGTGATGGGCCAGTTTAGAGAGAAGTGGTTTGATACGAGATAGGGCTTATTCCCTGTCTTTTCTCAGCCAGTTCCTGGAGGGCATGGGGTGCCCAGGGATTGAGCTGTGAGGGCAAGTCCCATATCCCCAGGTGGAATGGCAGCAGGACACAGCCAAGGGCACGCTTGATAAGAGGCTGCATGTGTCCTTCAGCCCTTGGACTTGCCCAATGTCCTGGCCATGCTGGCTGCTTTCACACACTACCTCACACTGCTGTCCCCAACCCTCACCCCGGCCGGGGGGCACCAGCCTCTGCCAGGGGAAAGAGATGGTGTTTTGTTCCCCGGCTTGCTCCTACCCAGGGGCTGATCGTGTACACACAGGGCCCTTTCAGCACGGGGAGAGGAGGGTGATGGCATCTGGGAACGCAGGGAACAAAGGCTCCCATTGATGCTGGCTGCAGCCCCACGGGTTTCTGTGAGCAGGGGCAAGGCCGGGGTGCGGGCACAGCTGTGTACTGAGCTGGGCCAGCAGCAATGCGTGAGCTAAACCTCCCTTGGCCGGACTGCACAGGAAGCCTTGCGGTCTGCCTGGAGGGGGCTGAAGCTGGGGGAGAGAGGAGAGAGTGGGATTGGGGCTAGAGTCCCGTTTAGGAAGAGCAGCGGGGGTCCTGGCAGTGGGTAGGTAACAGCCTGCTGCCTCTCAGCCCACCCTGCCGCTCGTGGGCACCTAGCCATGCCCAAAATCCGCCTCTCAGGCAGATCTGCCGTGTGTGGGAGCGGTGCCAGGGTTTGAGTGTGGGGCTGGAAGCATCCCTCCTTGGTCTTGCTCCCCAGAGGGTCCTGAGCACAGTTCCTGGGGGGAATTTCCAAGAGAAGCAACATTTGAATCAATAGTTTTTTAGTAGCTGCTGTGGAAACGTGCATCTAAGGGCAGTGTTCATCTGATCAGGGGCAGAAAGACACCAGCTGATGACCTCCCCACAAACCAGCACTGTGCAAACTGTTAATGACCCTGGGGCAAATGGCATGTAGCCACCCACAGAGCACGTGGAGAGGACATGTGGAGTCCTGCAGTAGTCGAGTCCGCCCTCGTGCCTAAACAAGACCATCCTATTTCACACAGGGCACTCTGCAAGCGAGAGAATCACACGTCCCGCCTGGCTCTGGATGTGCTCGTACCACGTGCATTGCCTGATGCGAACTGCTGCTCTTTGCTCGAGTTGTGCCCCTTAGTTTTGCAGTGGTCGCGCTGCAGGTGCTACATTAGGAAATGTGTATTAAAGGGCAGCAGCACATCACCGAGCACGAGCAAGCAGCTCCTACAAGACCCCAGCTTTCCTCTGAACAGCTGGAGGAGAAATAGAAGTTTAAAGGGTTCCCCAGCTGGGAATAAAGATTTTGAAGTCTGGGCTCATGAACCTCATGGCTGGGGTGGGCAGAGTCCTGCAGGGACTGCTAGCTCACGCATGGGGCTGGTGAGTGCTGCTCCTCCGGGACCTCCTCCTCTGTCCTTGCTTTTTTTTTTTTTTTGGCTGGGTGGGGGGTGGTGAAGTGCTGTGGGAAAGCCAGGACAACAAATGGACAGATAGACATATATCTTGTTCAGAATGTTCTTAATTTTAATTTATTTTCTTTAATTTTTATAAAATACATCTTGTAAGATAAGTCTCTAAAAACTTGCTCCTTTTTATTGCTTGTTAACAAGTTGAAATTCTAGATCAGAAATGAAGGAAACACTTTCAGTTGTGTGTGTGTGTGTGTGTGCGTGCACACATGTGCGTGTGTGTGTGTGTTTGGGGTCTGGGGACAAGGGTGGGGAGGAGGATCTGGTTATTTTTTGTTAAATGGATACCAAAAAACCCCAGCAAACCCCCAAGAGAGATAGCGTTGATGTGAATTTCAAAATCTTGACTGGTTTCTCCTCACCCTGCTGTCCCTCCTGGCATCTCCCCACTCCCCAGCCCATGTGCGTTGGTAGCCTGGCCAACCTATTTCAGCATTGCTGGCAGCAAGGATCCTTCGAATGCTCTGCTCAGCAGATCTGCTCCTTTATCCTTGCCCCTGCTGAAACTGGCACTTAAAAAAATATAATAGTAATACAGACAAAAAAAAAAATCCATGCAAGATGGAGCTACAGTCTGCCACTGAAAGTAGTTTCTCCAATAAATAAACACAAAGATTAGCATTAA